GACTAATCTATACTACAACTTCTTACCGACCCAACCCCGAATTCAATTCCGGACGACCGTCAAAGCAAGTTTCCTCCCCCCCCTCCCCCCGACCGACTCATCCTTCCCGTCCAGGCTCTTCTCCCTTTCTTTCGACCTGCGTGCGTCGATGGCTGACCGTCCCGATCGAGGAGGGAAAAAAAAACAGATGCTCTCCCGCGCCGCTACCCGCACCACGACCTCCCTGGTCACCCGCCGTGGCTTCCACGCCACCCGCGCCCGTCTCTCGTCCCCTTACCACTACCCCGAGGGTGCCTACTCTAACCTTCCCTTCAACCCCAAGAGCAAGTGGTTCGGCCTCGGCTACTGGAGCTTCCTGGCCACCGGCTTCTTCGCCCCCTTCGGCATTGCCAGTGAGTAACTTTCTCTTCTTCCTCTCCTCGAGGGAGACTCCACGAGCAGTATCCCGATTGTCGTCGAGACGTACAGCAAGACTTGCTAACGAGCATCGTTCTCTCCCCTCGTATAGTCTACCAGACCTACAAGCAGTAAAAGCATTTCCCGCTGCCGCCACGCTCTCTCAGATGATTGGGTCTCGCCGAAGGGGGAAGATGTCAAGAAGGAGGTGAAGAGGGGGCATGTCTTGGTCTCGGATGTACCATACAGTTGTGAATAGATTACAAGCCACTACCGACAATTTTCCATTTGTCCTACCATCATCATCCAACGGACATGCTAGATCATTTATCTCGTCATCTCGTAAAAGGGGGGATAGTGAATTGTTCTCAACCCATAGGGAAGGGAAACGAGTCAAGATAATTTTCATGTTGTAGTGAGGTTCTATGCTAGGAGAGGCTGTGCGTATACACACATGAAGGTGTCGGGTAAATTATGCTAGTATGGTATCTTATATTCCGATGATGCAGGTCGCTTGTTGGGTGCGTTGTACCCACGGTGCAGGGTGCCATTGTCATTGGCGTCCTTGGACTTGAGATCGCGGCCGCGGACAATGTTGTCCAGGAGGGCGTGCAGGAAGGGCTCCCTCGAGGGGGCCACGTCCCACCTCTTGGCGAGGTCGTCGAACGTCTCGATGACGGCGTCGGGCGTGGAGCACTTGCCGACGGCGCGTAGGGCCCAGATGACGAGCCAGCGGTCGATGAGGAAGCCACGAGCGTTCCCGTCGCGTGCCTCGCGCATGGCCTTGAGGACGCCCTCGAGGCGCGACGTGCTCCACTGCGAGCCGGGGAAGCCGCCGTGGACGTAGAAGCCCTTGAAGAGGGCGAGGAAGATCGTCGGATGCACGGCGATCCTCTGGAACCTCATCTCGTCGAGGTACCGGGCCACGGTGGACAGGTCGCCGAGCTTGACGGCGTAGTGCTCGATGAGGATACGGTAGGTGCGCAGGTCGGGGGCCAGCTGGACGTTTGTCTGGAACGACTGCTTGAGCTGCGGGTGGTCCTTGCCGACCTTGGAGAACATCATGAGCACCTTGGTCACCACCTTGGCCGTCATGTAGTCGCGCTCCGGCATGTCGGCCGTGGGCGTGTTGCCGCCCCTCATCCGCCGGTACGTCTCCTCGGCGGCCGCCTCCTCGCCGCACCGCAGGAAGCCCGAGATGACGCAGTTGAGGGTCACCGTGTCGATCATCTCGCCCGACTCCACCATCTCGCGGTACGCCGCCCTGATGCCGGACGAGTCCAGCTTCAGGCCGAAGAAGAAGATGAGGCTGACGTGGTGAAAGCGGTTGAACTCGATCCCGCGGTTGTCCATCTCGTTGTACAGCATCTCGGCCAGCGTGAAGTTGCCCGCCTTGGCCGCCACATCGAAGAGCACGTTGAAGGTGACGTCGTTGCCGGGGATCTTGGCGTCCCGCTCCATCTCGCGCCACATGCGCAACGCCGCGTCCGCCTCCTGCATCCCGGCCCGGGCCGTGTACTTGGTGGCGAAGGCCAGCGCGTAGTTCCACTGCGTGCGGCGGAGCGTGAGCCCGGCATTCTTGGTATCGGCCACCAGGGCAAAGTACCGCAGCATCGACTGCAGGTTCCGCCTCGGCGGCGTGCCCATGATCCGCAGCAGCCGGTTGCGCCACTGGCCCGTCAGGTTAAGCATGCGTGGCTCCGGGAGCTCGAGGTACAGCTTGTAAACAGACTCGAGCGTCGATCGGTGCGGGTGCCGCATCTTGAGGCCGATGGCGCTGCAGAGGCTGGCCACGCTGGCCCGAACCTTGTCGTTGCCGGCGTATATATCCTCCCGCGGCGGGTATTCGACATCGAGCCTCTTCTCCGACACCAGCAGCTTCGGTCCGTCAGGTTGTGCATACCCTCGTCTGAACGGGTCTCTGTAGAAATCAAAGTGCTCGTCGACGGAGCTCTGGCCTTCGAGTGGGACGTAGGACAGGAGCTCTCCCCTGTCGTGGACAGGAGATGCGTGCTGTCGGTGCTGCTGCGGCTGTTGAGTCGGCGAGCAATCATCGCGGGGTTCGGCAGTGTCGGGCACCGGCTTTCTCGCCACCGCCGTCGTCGTGTACGCGGCATCTCGACGTGGGGAGGGCGACGAGGAAGACGTCCTGGGGTCGGAGATTGGGGTAAAGGTCGAGTAGAGCCAGTGAGACGTCCTCGAGCAGAAGAAGGAGCCACCGCCAAGCTGCCTCCGACTCGGATGCTTTCGATACGCGTCACTAGGGACACCAAAGCGTCTAGACGATACTATCGGCGTCGTTGCGTTGCCAGTCCTGGGCAAAGTCGTAGCTGAGCGGCAATTTGACAGCACCGCGCTGCAGACGGAGGGGCCGTCCACCACTCGAGCCGGGATCTTCATGGGTTCGTACTCATGGTGCAGCTTCTGTTCTTTTTCTAAACAAAAAAAATATTGTCCAGGAGAGCAGATGATGAGTAGGCGAGACGAATGGGGGTCGTTGTTTATATTCTCCTCTGGTCGATATCCGGGGAAGCTGGACTGGCGCTGGAGGTTTTAAATTATCCGGGGTTTGGGTCTGGGGCTGTGGAGCGGAGCGGAGAGCGAGAGCGGGTCATTTGGGACTCGGGTGTGTGGTCTGTGGTGATGGGATTTTTTTTTTTGTTGGAGTAGTAATAAAACTGGTCGGTCATACGATTCGCCGGCGCAGGCTGTACCTGTACTGTACAGATACGTACCATCGTACAGGGTAGTCCGTCCAAAAATTTATCGTCATTTTCTGGCAAAGCAAAGCAAAGCAAGGCCAAACAGACCATTAACTCAACCAAACCACTCAAACCCCCCGACGACGACGACGACGACGACGACGACGACGAACCTCGCCACCGTCACTCCACCACATCAAGGCAGGAAGAAATGGGTGGAAAGCAGATCCGTCCGGCCACGGTTTGGAAGACCAAGACCGAGGAGCTGCGCAACCACCTGTTCAACAACCGCAAGGTTGCCACGCCGCCCTGGTACGAGATCCTCTCGTCGTGTCCCCCGGCCGAGACGCTCGTAAGGACCGTCCCCGTCCGTCACCACCAGGCCGCTCCCAAGAAGAAGGCGGCCAAGCCTCGCAACCTCTACCGACCCCAGCCCATCTCCTACCCCGAGGACAAGCTGCGACGCGTCTTCTACAAGGACCACCCCTGGGAGCTGGCACGGCCGCGTGTCCTGGTCGAGTCGGATGGAAAGGACTACCAGTTCATCGACTGGAGCAGAGGATTGAGGCAGCCTGGGATTCCTCTCTCTGGAGAGTCGTAAGTTTCTTTTTCCTCCTCCTCCTCCTCCTCTTCTTCTTCTTCTCTCTTCTTCTTCTCCCTTCTTCTCTCTTCTTCTTCTCTCTACTTCTTCTCTCTTCTTCTTCTCTCTTCTTCTTCTCTCTTCTTCTTCTCTCTTCTTTTCTTCATCCTTCGTCCCCTTGTCCATCTCATGAGCCTAAGACTGACAAAGCTTCCTTGCCCTCTTTCAGTGTCGTCCAACGCCAGCTCTGGCGCATGGAAAACGAAAACATGAGCCGCCAGCAAGCCTACGACGTGACGCGACGCGAATTCTACCGACTGCGCCAGGAGGAGGAGGTTGAGAAGCGCATCGCCAAGGAGGAGGCTCAGCACGTTGGCGCCTACTTTGGTAAATCCCGTCTTGAGGTCGGCATGCTCCTCGAGGACAGCGAGTACGAGAACTGGAAGGTCTGGGCCGGCAAGGAGGCCCAGAAGCGTGAGATGACGCTGGCGGCGCAGAACGACGAGGCCGAGGAGGCCCCGCGACCCGTCGAGGAGCTGGTGCAGTAAGAATCCGATATACGGGGTCACCGAGAGAGATCCCTTGTACGTGTATCGCGTGTATATGTATATATATATATCTGTTGTCTCAACACCATCCCAAAAGAAGATTAGACGAGAGACAGAAGGACAAGGAATCATCCTTGTCAGACTGCTCTCCGGGAATTGAACACCATGGGCCCCGCGTTGACGAGACCGTACGCGTCGGCAACAGCCTGGTGCTGTACGGCCAAGGCATCCGCTATGCCCGTGTAGTGGAACAGTTTGCCGGTGAGGCTGAGCGATGATATGCGGGCCCACGACTCGATGTAGACGAAGAAGCACGCGTCCCGGCCGAGCACGCCGACCATCTTGAGCATGTGCACCGCCAGCCCGACGAGGAACCCCGTAGCCGGCCCGTTGGACAGCACGATGCGAGGGTACCGTAAACTGCTGCTGCTGCTTTTCCGAGATTCCGGGGGCGAGAGGAGCACGGAGAAGATGACGTCGCGCAGGCTGGCCAGTGCTGTGACGGGCGCCGTCAGGAACGGCTGGCGGACGCGTCTGGCACGGGTGACGACGCGGACGTCGTAGGACCCGGGATCGGTCGACACCTCTCCGCACAGGGACCGCAGGTCAGCCTCGTAGTCCTCGACCTGGTGGAGGGACGTCGAATCGCCGCTCGACACGACGTAGCGTCTGTGCAGGCCGGCAAAGTCGCTGGTGCCGTCGTCCATCATCATGAGCATCTCCTTTGTGTGGCCGCCGGACCCCAGCACGATGAGGTAGTAGTCATCCTCCCTCTCGCCGTCCCTCCGACCCGTCCCCTTCCACTGCACGGGGCGCTTCTTGCGATGGCTGACGAGCTGCAGGTGACGTAGCTGCACAGCAGACGAATGTCAGCAGCTTGGATGCGCCCAACGCGAGCAAGCAAGAAAGAAGACTCACAATGATAGCTAGAGGGGCTGCCACCGCCACAGCGAGTACGATGGGCCACGATTGGGTTGATGCGACGAATATTCCAGCAGCTCCTATGGATCCTAGGCTGACGATGACGGCCCGCGTCGTGGTGCTCTTGTTCTTGGATTTCATCATGGTGATGGAAAGAGAAGAGAGAGAGAGTTGTAATGGATGAGACAAGAGCTGCGTATGCTACAGTAATATATGTATGTTCTTGATAGTTTCAAAATCCTTAGTGGCAGGGACCCCGAGATGACAACCACCCACGCCGTACATGGGTAATCCATCTGAATATTGGATAGACAGCATAGATTTTGATTCTTCCCCATCGTGAGAAACCAAACTCCCCCTCCCTCCCCCCCCC